CTCAAAACCAAGTCCAAATGGGTGTCAGCTTAAGATAGGTGTAAATCACAAGATAAAAGACTGTAACAGGTATTTCCCATTGTCTCTAAGCATGGGAGGCAGAGACAGTGCTTCCTAATGGCCAGAGAAATGATATGTCCATGAGGAGACCAGGCAGAAGGGTGTTAATTCATGTGGTTTTCTATTACAACATCAGAGGCAAGAAAAGCAACAGACAATCTAAGGAATCCCCTAATTCAATATGAATGACAATTGGCTATTGAGTCCCAGGAGTCTCCTGAGGTGCAGAGATGAGAGCCTGGGAGACTTCAAGGTCTTCATACTCATCCTCCAGGTCTTAGGGTCATAGTAATCCATCAATAATACTATTTTATATGTATGTAATAGAGGAATACTCAGTTAGATGGAAGCATAGAAAAAGCATAATCATTTCTGCTTAGGGAACATGGAGAAAGGTATTAAGAATGACCTTAAGGGGGTCAACAGGAGTTTGTCAAATGACCAAAAAGCATAGGCAAATTCAGGGACAAATAAGTGAATGGAAAAGAATATCAATTCCACAATCAGACACAAGCAGGTATGGGAACTTGGACTACAACAGAGATTGTTGTCACAATTCAGTTGGGAAATGATGTTGGGACAGTAGGCTTTCCATGTATAAAAAATAAAAACCCTACCTGAAACAATACAGAAAGATACAGTTTATTCCATACAGAGTTTTAAATGTTAAGGACCTAAGTGTGAAAATCAAACTTCAAAACTTAAGAAAAATAGAAAATGTCTTCATGATATCAGGTTAGAAAAGTACTTCTCAGTTAAGAGAAAAAAGAAAAGTCATAGAAGAAAAAATACATAAGTATGGCCATAATAAAGTCAAAACTTTCCATAAAACAAAGTTAAAAGAAACAGTAAACTAGAAGAAGGAATTTGCAACACAAAAGGACAAATGATTTGTTTTTCAGATTATACAAAGAACTCATGTCAGTTCATAAGGATAAGGAAAAGAAAAATTATACAACAGGGAAAATAGACAAAATTATGAATAGACAATTCTACATGATTCTATATTCTATAAAATAACCAAAAAATATTTGAAGATAATCTCTCTAGTAATAAGAAAATGAAAAGTAAAGTGATAATGAAACACCAGTTCATGCAGATCGTAAAGGTGAAAAAACAAAGTTTAACAATACAAATTGTTGTCAAGAATATGGGAAGCAGGAATTCTCAATATGGGAAGGTAAATTGGTATCACCACTTCAGGAAGCACTCTGATGGTATCTATAAAAAAATTCTGCCTCATCTAGACTATCTGAAGAGAACAATTACAAAATTTTAACCTTTTGTATGTTTGGATGCATGTTGTTACATTTTTTCTGTACTTTTCCATTTCCTTTTAACATTTCTTTAAAAGGCACAGATGCCCAAGAGAATCTGGCATATTTAAGAATCTGATGCATTCTTTAGTAGTTTAAAAATTAACATTTTTGTCTCTCAAGATTATCAGTTTTAAATTTTTTCCCTCTAATTTTTCCTCACTCTTTCCAGGCCATCAGTTCAGATATGTGTAGTAAAGGACAGTCTTAGCAAAGAAGTAGGGAAAGTAAAATGAAAAGAAAGGAGATCCCATCAGAAATCCTTCAGCTCTGCTAATGGCCAGCATTTGCCAGTTTAGAGAACTGGAGTCACACCACTGGGCTACCCTCCCTCATCACACATCTACCTGAGAATACCAGGGTTCTCAATTTCTCCCAATGTTCAGAAGTTAAATGGCAAAGATATGAATAAAAATCTATTGACTGATTCTATTCCTTTCACAGAAAATATAAAAAAGATAATGAACTTCGTCAGAAAAAATGGTCCCACATTCCTCCTGAAAAGATCTTTCCTCTGGAGACCAATGAGACCAGCCAAGTTAGCCTGAAGGTAAGGGCTGTCTCACCTGCTGAGGAATGATGCAGTTTGCCAGGTATCGGACAAGACTTTGCTAGCATGGTAGGAAATGCACCAAACAGACGGTTTGTTCTAGAATCTAAGACAGACGTTTTCTAATTCCCAGCATCCTACCTTTCCCTTGATTCTCCATTGCTCTAAATGTCAGTCAGTTAATCCCAAAAAACATGTTACTGGAGTCTGAGATATGCTGTGTTACTCACCCCTTGTATCTGATCCAGAAGAGAAATGCACATGATGGAAATTTGTCGTGGAAGGGAGGTAGGAATGGAGAGCATTTGAAGTCCCCCAAACCTAAGGTACTAGTCTACCCACACTAAGGACCTGTGACATCATGCTCATTGCTGAGGAAAGGGACCCCTGCTGTTCTTTGCCCACGTTCTTCCTCAGCCAGGAAATAGCAGCCACAGCCAGCAATAAGATCTCACTCCCATTGACTGCAATCAATGCCCAACCTATGTTGTCTCATCAGCTCCTCACAAGGAACCCAGGAGTTAAGCTTTATCATAATTTTGCTGATGGGAAAACTGAAGGACTGAATATTAAGAAAGAGTGCAGGGTCACATACCACTACCGAGTAAGATGACCGCAAATAAATAACAGCTAACACTTACTGAGCACTTACGATGTGCCAGATACATTAGCCCATTTCATCTTCCCCTGAGCCCTGTGAAGTAGCAGGGCTGGAATTCTAGGAGCACAGCTACAATTTGAACCAGTTTGTTTAACCGTAAAGCCTAAGATCCTAACACCTACCATACAGCATGTAATTATCAGAGTTTTTACACCAAAGCATACTAAGAGGAGATTCATGAACTCCCTCAGAGTAGGGCCAAACCGATAGGGTAGAGTGATTTGAGATACCTCCCTGCCTAAAATCAGCAGAAGTAAAATCGCAGCATGAGTCAGGTTTGTCTTTGGAGGCTCTCTACCAGCTTTGACACTCCACCCCAAGTCCTGCACGCTGGCCTCTAATGGCTCAGACCCCCTCTTGACTGTCCATGAACAAGGTCTTTCCTTCCTCCAGAAATGCTCCATGCTCCAAAGTGACTCTTTCACTGCATTCTGAACCTCACACACATAAATTCTATTCAAAAGGCTAATCTAGCTCAGGCAAGTGTCAGGATGAAATCAATCTTGCAGTAATTCACAAGAAGGTGTAAATGACCATAACACCACTGGATTTCCAAAGAGAGAATTTGTTGACCTAAATGATGAACTGGAAGTACCTAGAAGTAAAAGGAAAGCTTTAGACAGATTAAACTTAACAGAATTTGAGGAAAAAGTGATTCATGAATCAGGTAACACTCAAGACCCAAAGAGATTCAGAGAGCTCCATCCAAAGCATGGGTAGTGAGCTTTTATAAGTTATATGAGGAGGTAAAGTACAAAAATAACTTGTTTGGTTATAGCTAAATGTTTGCTTTATTGAGCATGGTCTGACCATTTCTTGCCTGTGATTGGCTGAAACACAACTATTGGTTACAAAAATATACTCCCAGATTAGGTTTTGGTTTGTTTACATATTAATTTAGGTTGCAGTTTGTTATGTAAGAACTCAAAACACGGGCCAGTGGCCTCCTGCTTCAGAAGCAGTGAGTGCTGCCCTGTCTCTGGTACGACACCTGGGTGGGCTTGCACACACCCCACCTCTTCACAAGTCCAGCCCTGCTGCAGTCCTCAAACACTTCCCCCCACTGCCTCAAAACCCACGGTTCATATTTAATCTTTTGGATTAAGCCTAAAACATTGTGTTTCTGTGTGTTTCCTTAAAATATAAATATTCCTAGAAGTATAACCCATCTATCCCTTCTCAGTTTCTATACAGAATTTGTATCAGTTAATTCATCCAATTAGTCACTCACCTGGCTAACGAATAGGTCTTTGGGGCAGTAAACTCAAAGGAGGGAAGTTAGAAATTATTTAGGGCGTGGCGGTGGTGGTGGTACTGTGGGTTTCAGACAGGCTGGGGAGAGGCAGACCAGGAGAGAACTGGCTGTCCAGAGAGGTCAGGTGCTGTGAGTCAGGGAGAAAAGAGGAAAAGCCGAGGTCAGCCCAGGTCAGCAAGAGTGGAAAATACCACACAACCACATGGGTAATGGTTCAAGTTCTGGATAATCACCAAAGGCAGGAGGAAGGAAGCAAGCCTGAGAGATGCGATAAGGAGCAGAAAGGGCCAGAAGAGCAGACCAAAGAATACAGACCCAAAGAGAAGTCAGGAAAGTCAAATCCACAGAATGACAAACAAAAGAAATGATAAAGATGATGATCACTCATGTGAGGATAAAAAAGAGATTTTGTTAGCTTGCAAGAAAATTTCACAAACTTTGTCTCATTTGATCCCCAAGCATCCCTATGAGTTAGGATCGCACAGTAAGGATCTGAGGCTCAGACAGTTCAAATGACCTCATCGGGGTCTGAAACAGTAAAATGAACCCTAGACAAGGAGACAAACCCAGGTTCTGACACCCTCTTCGTATGTGACATTTATTGTCATTTAACCCAGCTATCCCTCATCTATTAAGTGAGAATTGTGAAGATAACTGAAATTCATTAACCTGCATTGTGCCAGGCATCACGCTTGATACCTGATATAATTTATTTCACTCACATTTCAAAATGACTTTGTAAGGTAAATTCTAACAGAGACAGTAACACATCCAAGATTTT